CGTCGCGTTGGTTATATTTATAGGCGTGTGGATGCTTTCTATAAAATTCAGATTACGTAACAATACAAAGCTACATTAGCCTTTACGTACATACATATATTGTTGATTCTTACACTCTAGAATCTTCTACAATTTTGGAGAATAAGCGAGAGTTTCGCAATACATATTTAACACTATAAGCTATGCATATTTCTAAATGTAAATTTAACCTAAACAAACGTTGATATTAAAATAAATATATAATAATAAATCCGTCACACTCTATATATTATACATTAATAGTGTTATTGTAACCAATGCAATATGCCTTTTGAACCATTTACAAGTTTTTTGAGCCAATGATCGTTCAGAACTTTACCTGTCCTCCATATTGCATGGATCCATAACTGAAAGGACCGCCTGTTTCAGTTTTGGTCGAAATAATCACGCAGTGTAAGTATGACCGAAACATCTGATCAATCATGATCGAAGCTGAAACAGGTACTTGGTCATGAGGAGTAGAACACGCCCCAACAAAAGCAATTCGTAGGCCTAGGCCTATTATTAAACTAATTTTACATCTGTCCCATTATACCGCTGAATTAAGACTTTATTCATTCATTTATCCATTATTTCTTACAAAATTATAAAATTAAGCCAGAGGACCTTAATGAAAATCAAACACAGGCACATAAGTTGTACTTTATACGGTCTTTGGCTCATTAATCGAAATTAAAGAACAGTAAGTACACGATAAGAAGGTTTTTTACTTCGCGTTGACATTTATTAAATTCAAACTTTCAGTTTAGCTTTTGTGCTGTAGTCAACATAAGGTTAACTGAATGCTATATGTGAAAAACAAACAAACAACAAAACACATTTTTGTACTGCAGTCATAATTAATTTAACAGGGTAGACTTCTAAATAAGCTAATACTTCGTTATGGTACTGGGCTTGGTATGACCTATTGTTTAGGACACTCGACTCACAATCTGTGGGTTGTGAGATAAAACCTAGCGTCGAATATGCTCGCCCTTTCATCCGTAGAGGCATGTTAATTTGACTGTCAATCCCATTATTCGATGGTAAAAGAACAGCGCAAGAGTTGGTGGTGAGTGCTTGCCGCCATTTTCATTCCCTCAAGTCAAGATAGGGACGACAGCTTTAGCAGCTTTGCCATAAAAAACAAACGGTATTATTAATGTGGAACTGAATATATATATTTTTCATAAGGTATTTTATTTTTCTTCGTTTAGTCGTGCTAAATGTTGTTTTAATTATGTTCTTCCCATCTCGTATTTATAACAAGAAAATATAATAAAATATAAGTAGATTACAATTGTCTGTTCTTTGGCGATGCTTTTCGTGTATAATTTTGGCTTTCCTTTGTACACCAAACCTCTTTTTTTTTCGACAAGGTTTTCATTGCTGATATTAATGTGTCTGTTTGTTTTTTTTTAATTTCGCGAAAAGCTACACGATGGCTATCTGCGCTAGCCGTCCCTAATTTAGCAGTGTAAGACTAGAGGGAAGGCAGCTAGTCATCATCACCCACCGCCAACTCTTGGGTTACTCTTTTACCAACGAATAGTGGGATAGACCGTCACATTATAACGCCCCCACGGCTGAAAGAGCGAGTATGTTTGGTGTGACGGGAATTCGAACCCTCGACCCGCAGATTGCGAGTCGAGCTCCCTAACCACCTGGCCATGCAGGGGCCCTAACCACCTGGCCATGCAGGGCCGATTAATGTGTCTCTTCGGATACATGATGAAATGGGTAATTACTGAATTAGCAATTAACTTCATAAGCGTTAAGCTTACTATATGAGAAGCAACACTTGTGGGTTCTTTAATCAAAATTTGTAATTATGATTTGAAAATTATTACTATTTCAATCGCTTTAACACTCAATTTTAGTTCCACTCTTGCATTAAAATATAGTCCTAAAACTTATTTATATGATTATGTCTCAGGAATTGTCGAAAAAATTAGCTTAGGGTGTTATTCTATGTACAAAAGATTGCTATATTGGATATTTTTCGTTCTAACTCTAGTTGTTTTAAAAAAAATCACTACATTTGTTTTTTGCTTTAGTAGGGTATTTTGAAATAAATATCATAATAAAAAAATACTATTACGTACAATTTACATAATAATTTAATTAATTTGTTTAAAAGGTTAATGCCTTTTTTACCATTTATGGGTATAAAATATATTATTAGCAATTTAATATATTTGTGCCTACTGATAACGCCCCTGGTGGCTTAGCGGTAAGGTTTCGGTTTTACAAAGCTAAAATTCGGGGATGGATTCCCTGCGATAAGCCTATTGTGTAGATTTATGTTGAAACATCAGCAGCATGCATCTGTTCACTTCCACAATTTATTTATCATTTTCACTTACTAAGTTATCTCATACAACAAGCGTATGATAATAATATTAATTGACATAATCTCCGTAATAAACATCACGTTAGACTGCTTTTTTTCATAATCGTCTTTAAAATAAAATTTGCAGTCAAATGTGTATTTTGTTACAAATAACGTTAATAATATATCTTTAAAAAAGACAAGATTTGTGGTTATTAACGGAAAAGAAGCATGGCAAAAACCATTTCATTTCTACAATAAAACTGTAATCTATCGTTGTTATTCACACAGACACAAAGATCTTTTAGCGTTTAGTAGAGTTAAATAGATAAATTATACCAAACTATTTTCGTATAAATGTTCCACGTACGCTTTCATCATATTTGTGATATATTTATTTTAGATGAGTTTTTGGAACTATTTTTTGTAAGATAAAAATTAACATCTGAGGTAGAAAACTACAAGGATGAAAGATTAAACTTACAGAAGTGTTATTCTAGCAAAGAAACACTGTGTGTCACATTAGTGTAAACTAAATATATTTTACTGGGCGTAAATAGCGAAACAGCCCCTTTGTTATTCCTACAATAAAACGTTGGAACGTGGTTTTACAAGGTTTACTCTGCGTGAGTTAAAAACAGGCTTTCACCTGTTGGTAACTACAAGCTGGTGGTCGGGAGCTTTTGAGTGGGGTCGGTTTAATTGGCTATCCTGGGGCCTCTCAGGTACAATAGGGGGTCTCATAGTTACAAGGCTTCCCCCTGCTTAGGCGGAAAGTGCCTGTGGAGATAAAGATTTAGGAGAGAAATATCACCGAAAAGAAGTCTGGTATTGTCAATGTGTA